AATTAGAGCTTTTTTCTTGAATTGAGTTAGGGTGTCTTTAAAAAACAGTTGTTTTACTCTAGTTTCTTATTTCTTATATTCTTTTAAAGCTCTTTCAGACGCATATCCCAACGCGTAGAAAAATTCTGGACCATTGAGGAAAATACCACAACACCATGTCTCTCTATTGAGGAAGCCGCATGTGAGGACCATTTCCAAAAAAACGATCACTCGTAACTCAGAAGGCCGTTACATAGTCCGTTTACCTGTGAAGGAAAACATTCTCCTCGACCTAGCCGACAACCGTCACACAGCTGTTTGACTATTTCGAATGCTTGAAGGTAGATTAGCTGGTGACGAAAACCTGAAGAAACAGTATTGCACCTTTATGGATGAGTACCTCGCACTTGGGCACATGGAACGCGTCCAGGACTACCGACAGCCACTTGAAACCGTCTATCATCTTCCCCACGACGCAGTAATCCGTGAGGACAGCACTACGACTAAAGTCCGCGTAGTCTTTGACTCCTCTTGTCGGACTATGAATGGACCATCATTAAACGATGGTTGGGCCAATTCTGCAACTGGACCTACGTTCGATCCTTATGCGATCACGAGTACATCCAGTAATGATTGTTGCGGACATGAAGCAAATGTTCCGCCAAATTTTAATTGAACCTCACGACACTCTACTACTGCGCATTGTATTCAGATCTTCAATGGATGCCCCCTTGGAAGCCTTCGAGTTAAAGACCGTTACGTATGGCACAGCTAGTGCCCCATTTCTTGCCACACGAATCTTAAAACAACTGGCAGACGACGAGCAAAATGAATTTCCTGAAGCAGCCAAGGTTTTGACCACTGATTTCTCCGTCGACGATTCGATCTCCGGAGCAAATTCTATAGAGGAAGCGATTGCCCTTCGGAAGCAGCTGGACTCACTGGTCGAACAAACCAGCCACTGTTGCAGATGTTTCCTAAGAAAATCTCACTATGCAGCCAGTGGAGCTTGATCGCGATCAGAGCATCAAAACACTTGGATTACACTGGGAACCCCAAACGGATTGTTTTCGGTACAAGGTTCAGCGTCCAGAAGCACTGAACGAGGAGACTCTAACGAAACGGACTGCTCCTTCCTACATCGCAGTGGTGACAACGGCTAAACTGTTCATGCAGTTTCTCTGGTTGCTTCAAAACAACGGAAAGCTTTGGAATTGAGATAAGAGGCTGCCATCTTCGCTTCAAGTGCGCTGGCGGACATGCTTGGCATACACAGTTGTACACACCAACTGCTCATTTGCTAATAACTTCGCACACAATTGACGTAACATAGTTCTTTTTGATGCAGTAGATAGAAAAGAGTGTAAGCTTGTTATAGATACGTAAAAACAAGTAGATTTTAATTCTAGTAATAAACTGTATTTGTTTTGGCGTTGTAAAAATGAAGTGAGAAATGCTCGCTGCACATTTCGTACTTCAAGTGTAAAAATTCATTGGTGTTGATTCAAATGTTATGATTTGCATACTCTTTGCATATGTATAGTAAACTATGATCCTAATCTATCAATTACTTTAAAGAAAAACAAATTTCAGCACCTGAGTGAAAAGTTATTAACAAATGAGCAGTTGGTGTGTACAACTGTGTATGTCAAGCATGCTGGCGGACATATCAAATTCAACTTCCGCTTTTCAACGAGTATTGATCGGCTCATTATATGCCCATCACCCACGACTGTGCAATTACACATTTTCTCTTATGCATCTGAAAAAGCGTACGGCGCGTCTTGTTAAGATTGTCCTACTCACTTCCAGGTCTAAGGTCACGCCTCTCAAACAGCAGAGCATTCCGCGACTTGAACTGTGTGGAGTTCTTCTCGCTGCAGAACTCTACTATAAGATGATCGCTTCTTTGCCTAACTAAATCCAGACTTTTTTCTGGGTGGAATCGACACTGTCCTCTGCTGGCTAAAGGGCAATCCATCCACCTGGACAACGTTTGTGGCAAATAGAGTATCCAAGATACAGTTGGCCACTGAAGGCTGCAGCTGGAATCACATCGCAGGGAAAGAAAACCCAGCTGACATTCTTTCTCGTGGAGCCACTGTACAATCTCTTGTCAGTAGCACCCTTTGGTGGAGTGGACCAGCTTGGCTATAGTTGGAACCAGATCAGTGGCCGAACGGACTACACAAAGATCTACAGACTCCTATGACTCTATACGAGAAGGCCGCAAGGTATCAGTTGCAGCCGTTGCAAGCTCTCAACGTCCAACAAGAGCCGACTCTCATCGATAATTTTGTTACGTCGTTTTCAATTACCAATATATGCTACGTGTCACCTCCTACTGTAACCGCTCTCTTTGAAACTGTCGCAGTAAAACACAAAGGGCGTCAAGTGAAAATTAAGCTTTCCTACGATCGGCAGAAATGAAGGCATCAGAAATCACCCTCATCGCACTCATATAGCAGGTTTTTCCCGTCGAATGGACACAACTTCGTAAGAGACAACCAATTTCCACCAGATCAAGACTCCCTTGGCTTAACCCGTTTCTGTCCGATGAAGGAATCATTCGCATTGGAGGTCGATTGACTAACGTACAACAGTCATTTGATAGCAAGCATAAAATTTTGCTTCCGGCACACCAACCATTCTACGGCACGTCTACTGAGGATTCATATTTCTAAAAAATCATCTATCAATGAAACAGTTATCGGTCGAAACTTTTATTGGCTCTGTTGTCTTGTGAATTTTAGCTATAACAAATATTATAAACCGTAAAATTGCCTTAAAACATAAAATTAACTTGAAGCACCTCTAAATCATCACCGAAGTTCAAATTAACATAAAGAACAGTAATCATGGTTGACCCGGTGCATCCCGAACATTTCTGTTAAATGAACAGGTCTAATGTGTATCCTGTATTAAATATATCTTGAGATCCTGACCATCTAGGAACTAGTAGAAAGTTCATCTCAACAACTACAGGCCTTTCAGACGGTAAACAAATAAATTTGGATTTTTGTCACTATGTGGCACTAGAATGTATGTTATCTTCCTGCATGTCTATACAATATGTGGTTGAGTCTGATGCCATTTTGGAATCCATAATGGGGGTCCTCGCTTTAATACAAGCTGTTAAATACTTACAATATAGGTTTTTTTTTTGGAAAGGGGCGACATGAAGAGGCTGAAAATAAATATCTGACGCCAATTTGGAATCCAAGATGGTAGCCTTCAGACTTAGAAAATCTTAAATACCCTACAATACGGTATTTTCAAACTAGAAATCAATGTCCGACATCATTAGGGATCCCAAGATGGCGGTTATTGATGCCCGAAAAAGTGTGGGTATTTAAAAAAAAGGATACGGCGTATAGAGGCCGGATATCGATGCCGAATTTCATTTTGATATCAAAGATGGTGGTTTACAATTTCCGAAAAACTGGATGGAATCCTATAATATTGGTTATTTTGAAACGGGGACGAATGGTTTGAATAGTTTTAACTTTAAGTGCTCTAAATTTACTTTGAAAACATTTGAGATTTGAATAATCCATTGAAATATCTACCCCAGGGTACAGACATTGTAATTTTCTTTATAGCACAGACGAAGGGTTAATTGCTATCAAAGCGATATGAGTCAAATTTTCAAATCTACCGTCGTAATCTCCACACAAACTTAAAACCTTTTGCGCGACACCTAAAGCAACATCCTTACCATACCTTACCAATCAGGCTAAGGTCTTGATGCCCTCTGCTGTTCGAAGAAGTCGTTTCCACTCTACTCGATCCATGGCCACACGTCGCTAGTCTTGTAGTCCTAACCAGGTACATCAATCTTAACAATTTGTTTTTGTACTGGTCCATATTTTGGGGATATGAATCGAACTGGAGGGTGATTGCCATGTGGGTGCAAACGTTTTATGTTTGTTTTCAAAACATAACAAAGAAAATCAACAGATGGCAATGATCGTCAAAACAGGTACTGGCAGTTCCGGCCTTTGTCACATCAAAATGCATATCAATTAGAGAAAGAGGACTTAACTCTCGTATATTGTCCACTTGGAATGTGATTATACCTACACGATCAATGAGAGTAGCTCCGATTTGAGTCGAACTCAACTCAAAATTGCAAAAAGTTGGGCTACTGAGTAACATTTTCCTCGATAGTTGGTGCATTGACGAGATTCTGTATTCGTTTTTCACGAGCAACATGGGATCTTTGGCCTAACAGTAACTAGTAACTGCAACATTGATACATTTTACCGAAATCAATCTACCATTCACTCCAAATGGAAATGGATTGTCAGGTTTCATACCCATCACTGTCAAAACTATCAAGATCGAAACCGATAAAAGTGCAGCATCTCGCACCAAGCAACCACTCACACACCCACAAACGCACAGAAAGGGGTTTGCCCATTTGCGTTGTCCTGGCATGATCTGTGAGAACATCCCAGGCAGTGTCATAAATCTTCTCCGGCAGGAGCCGCCAAGTAGGATTGTTCCGGACGAGGCGAGGTGCCCAGATGTAGTCATGACGAGTCTCTATGTTTACTACCGCTGTCCGTTGTTGATAACCATAAAGGGTTGCGATCGAACGAAGAAGGGTGATAACAAAGCGAAGAAGCCAAGAAGTTGATGCATAACGTGCTTTTGATGCAATTTTTTTTATGCTGCTCTTTTGCGGTGCAGTTTTGTATTTTGTTTTGCTATTGGCCTAGGTCTTCATCGCCACCGTCGTGGTGTGGTTGTTGTTCTATCGGGTCTTCTTTGAAGGAGACTTTGAAGAAGAGAGATAGAGAGAGAGAGATAGGGTAAGTAGGATGGCGAGATGCGGAGGTGGTTTACGCAGGACATACCGGATCGACGTGTGTACTTGCTTTAAGGTAAGTGTCTAAGTCCACGACCACACCACGGAAGGTAGGAAGGTAGGATGGATGGGTTGAGTGTGTCGTTCGTCGTTCTAGAATGCCATAGCCAAAGAAGAAGAGCTTATAAAGGGTTCGACTGCGGTAGTTAGCTCCAGTCAGTGTCGGATAGACCCCGGATCTAGTCACGGCCTAGGACTAACTCTATTGTGATAAACGGTTCGAGCGGTTCTGAAAGAAAGAGTGCTAAAGGTAAGCGGTTTTCTTCGGATTGTGGTGATTAGAAACATTGGTTGATTTGGTGAAGTGTTTTGAGATAATATCAAAAAAGTGATCTCGAAAAATATGTTGGTGTAGTGTTAAGACCTAATTTCGTTGTGGTTTTAGTTTCATTACTTAGATGCACTGCCGCTCATGCAAATTTCACTGAATAATAAAATAATGGTTTTTAAACATTATTGAGTAATGCGAATAGTTAGTTAGTTATCTTTATTAAGGAGACTTTCAGTCTCCGGTGCGATGCGAATCAGCAGTATTTTAGTGTGTCTTGAAAATCAGGAATTTATCATGAAATAAAATGATCAGTAAAATCACTGCAGTTGAATCATTACTCACTCAAAATTGTACTTTCATCTTGTCAACTAGTGAAAAGAAGTGTATTTTAATGAAATCTGCTATTTTTTTGCAAATGCCATCAATATTTTCTGGATAGGAAACTTCTCATGTTTTGATAGTAACACATTTTGTTCATGATTTTTTTTTGGTGAATGATATATTAAAAAATTAACAATAAATAGGGGAAATGACGGCTTCGGCATGACAGACTATTGTCGGCAACCCAAATTGAAACGCTAATTTCACTGGTTTTTCTTAAGAAAACACTTCGCTGAATGCATTCAAACTATTCTTAAGGCTTTCAGCTTCAATTTGATTATATTTTTACCACTAAGAAAAAGCAATCTAGCAGGGGTTTCTTGAAATGAAACACACGCACTACAAAACGCTGCTGATTTCGAGCTGCCGATGAAAGCACAGCTGTTTAACACGCAGCTCAAATAGAAAGGCTGCCGAATAAAAAGAGGTTGCTTCACAATAGTAGCTCTCACTAGAGAATATTGGAGCTTTGTAAAAGCGTTTCAAAACAGTTTTTGACAATTATTTCGACTGAAATTGTTAGAGCAGCTGGCAGCAAAAGATTGTAAACAAACCAATACTGTATATGTGTGCGTTCCGTAGAGAAAAAGGCTATAGAAAGATGGTCGCTGCTTAAGTTGCCGAGAATACGTAAATTCCCCTATGTACTATCCTAAAACATCACAGAGTTTAAGACCCTACAGTCAATGCTCTTTATATTCACATCGCAAGTGTTGTTGTAAAATAATGTCTCTACAGAGAATGATGCTTTGGAACACACTTAAATTATAAGGACTGTTTCGGTTAAAATTAACAAATTTTTCCTAACAAATCCGTAAAAAGTTATGATTTAATAAAAAAAAAGTTCATCTATTATGTTAAAACTTAACTAAGTAAAACAAACCAAAACACATCCCTTAAAGGACTGGTATCATGTTAGACGTAGTTCCTCTTATGAGGTTTAGGACAATGCATTTCCGTCTTTTTATTTTAACGCATCGTTACAGTATATTTTAGACGATTTCAATGTTTTAGAACTCTTAATATTCTTTTGAAGATGCTGTTTCCAATGGCCATTTAAAATTAGCAATTGGCATTCTATAGTCTGTAGTTGTGAACAAGTTGAATTGGGTCTCCCTCGAATGAAGTACGGAATTGATTTAAATTTTTTTATGTTTATTAATTTATTTCATAAGGCTCCAACGAATTATTTTTGCAAAGTCGAGTTTTCTTGTTCACCATACAAAACATCGTAAAACTATAGTGAAAAGGTACAACACAATAAACACTTCATCTTTCGCTATCCAATAAGCCATCTCCATTAGAACGGGATCCGCTTTCAGTGGTTTAATTGTATGGTAGTAACTAGAGGTGAGCAAAATAGCTCATCTGACTGAGCGGATCAGATCCGTCCAGCTCATTAAAGGGAGTCGATTCTTTTGAACAGCTCTTTAGCTCACCATGAAATTATAGAAATTTTGAAACAAATGTCACACGCGATGATATGATCGACATTGTGTTACACGATGTTACGCTTTTTCTCAAGCTATGCAATCCAGTCTACATAAAGATTTTATTTCTAATGTTAATTCTTCAGTAGATTTTCTCTCACTATTCTCGGCTTAAGCTCCAGATCATCAGCTCAGATCTGGAGATGGGCTCTCGAGCTGTTCTATAGACTCGACCCACTAAAGTCAGCCGTGGTTCATTTTTAGGAACCGCAGCTCATCAGCTCACTGATATCATAAGTCTAATGGTGTATTCAGATCTGAGCGTGCATTAGCGGAGCGGAGCAGAATTTGGGTTGGAATCAGAGAGACAACTAGTGCTTCATTCCCTCTCGTACATTCGAAAAATCTCGCCCCGCGCGTGAAATATCGCTCAGGACAGAATCCACCTTGATTCTCCAGCACAATTGCTCTCACTATTCTCGGCTTCAGCTCCAGATCATCAGCTCAGATCCGGATCCGGAGCTGAATCGAGAGAAGAGCTGGACGGGTCCGAGAGCTGTTATGTCAGTGAATCATTCGAGCCGATGATTCGGATCCGGAGCTGAGCTGATAAGCTGGAGAGAATGATGGGAGGAGAGGTTAGATCACATATACATAACAGCAGCAATAAGAGCCGGGTACATGTTAAATTACGCAATGGTTGCTGCCGAGTAAACAGACGATCGCGTGACAACACTGATATCAATTTAGACCAAAACAATTGAAAATAGTTATGTTTTCTTCACAACCTAAGATAATGAAACAAGTTCTAAAAATCTTCTACGATGTTTACAAACAGTGCTTAAAACCTGTTTTGTCACACTGTCCCAAATTTGTAAAACGACAAAAATCTTATATCATCAAAGGATCTAAGAAAATATATTTTAAATTTGTCTAAGTGAAGTTAACTTTTTAAGAAAGACATGACACACATAATTAAAGAACCTTTTTTAATGCCTTTTTTATGGATTTAGAAAGCAACATATGTTTACAACTTATTTTCGATACAGTCCATAGTTGCAAACGACTAAATCAGATTACAATTTCACTGGATTTGTTCAAGCACAAATTATATTTTCTCCTATATAAAGGGAAAAACTCCGAAAAGTTTCAGCTTACGTTTTATGACAAATACTAAGCTTTCCATAAAAATCAATTTTGTCAACTTAGGCGTGTAACGGCGCCGGTGGTGTAGTGGTAAGCGTGATTACCTCTCACCCCAGCATGCCTGGGTTCAATCCCAGTCGGCGCCGCCGGGATGTTCTGAGGCATAACATCTCTGATCACGCCTTCCTTCGGATGGGAAGTAAGCCGTTGGTCCCCGGTTCATGAGTTGATGGGTTGAAAGGTAGGGTCCAGGTGTGGGAGCTGCCTTCCTGGCACGTCGGTAGCATCGGTGCTCAGCACGGAAAACAAGATCGACGGAAAAAAAACAAACCAAAGAAAAAAAAAAAACTTAGGCGTGTGTTACTTTTAAATTTGGTTTAAATATCAACCTATTTAAAATCATAAACTGATAATTATTTACTCGACAGTGAATTACGAATTATGTTAACTGAAAATAAGATTTGTTTTTGATAACTCCAATGCCATGTACATTACGGTGGTTCAAAATATCTATTTTGCTCCGCCCCTCTCAATCGATTATCGATGATTCTCCGAAAATTAGGAGTTCATTTCATTGCGAACTCATACTGCACTGGGTCTGTGAAGTACATGAGCATGAGCATGAGCATGATCATGATTGACCGCCCACGGTTGCTACTCTGTTATTGCCAGACCAGCTGTAATTACACAGAGAACCAATAGACGATGCTTGGGACTAGCAATCATCCTCAATGTGTAAAAACTGGTGATCTCGAATTAGGCACTACCAGCGCCAGCCGCGCCTGAACGCAGGTCAAGAAAGGAATGGGTAGGAATGTGTTGACGTGACACTCGCTTTGATGGAAGCCGAGGAGTCCTCTGCACTTCCACGACGAATCACAGGGATGTTGGGTAAGACGGTTGGGTTAGCAGCAGGGTTCGTTCCTAACGATCGTATAACGCGAAGGAGCTTGGGATTGAACCCACGGTCTTCTGCTCAGTAAGCAAAAACGTTTGCCACTAGGCAGACGAGCTCCTTTTTAATCATTGACGAATCTTGAATGTGGATGGGCTTGAGATTAGACTCATGATGTTCTGCTCAGTAAGCAAAAACGGTTGCTCTAAGACCACTGAGCCTCTCATATCACATTATAGCGTTACTCAAGTTTAATAACTATTCAAACTTGGCACCGACGACAACGAAAAGTTTTACAAAATACACGATAAATATGCGATCTTACCATGCATTTTTAATATGAAAGAATCTGGTACCGCATTTTTCTCCTCAGTAAGCAAGCCACTGCAACCGACGATCTTTGAAATCCTAAAACTAAAAGCTACGAAAGAGTACTTAGGCCTTCATTAAGATCCACTTTCACGCGACGTTCAATGTTTCGATTTTCTCTTTACGCATGGTTCAGGCAATCATAACAAGCTATGACCGACGTGACGATTGTTTAAGACCTGGTTAAACAAGCTATTCAAATGAAATTACGTTCTCGAATTTCACTTGGAATGTAATGAACAACAGAAATACGCGATAATTAATATTTTCAGCGGTTGATGTTTAATTTTAAATATACTAACGGTACTGCCTACGACTACGACGGCGATTACGACAGCGACTGCGATGGCGCCTACGACAACGACAACAGAGAATTTGTAACTTACCATTTGTCTAGGATAAACACCTTTGCCCGGCATCTCCACTGGTTCTTCATGTCCGCTATCTGTCACTGTTTGCAAAATATATAATAGCAATTACCTTTGTTGTAATACTTCCTGTATTGCCATGGTGATCTTAAAGGAGGGAGGTGACCTTAAAGGAGGGAGGGCTCTTGAACCATCACAAGAACCTATTCCGACCACAAATACCCCTGCATACAAATTTTCACGCCGATCGGTTCAGTAGCTTCCGAGTCTATAAGGGTCAGACATACAGACAGAAATTCATTTTTATATATTTAGATTAGTTTTGCTTAAATCTACGTCTAGTATGGATAGGACCGATTAATTGTGGGCTGGTCGAGGCAAGTGGGTTGA